CTTTGCTGTCTGCGGAATAACCCCCACCATGGGTCTTGTTTGCTAGGAGTGGCAGGTTTGAAAAGACGCCTCTGGCGGTCGAGCTGTCTGCCCTTGCCTGTACCACTTCGTCCTGAAATGGTCAGCCAGACAGTTCTTAATTCCCAAATAAGATACTGGTACTTCTGGCTGAGGCTGGGCAGCCCCGTTTTTCGCCAAGGGTCCGCTTTCTCATTGCCACTGAAGTTGACATGACCTGGGATTCACTGCACTGTGACCTTGCCTCCTATTTCTCAGATTTGCACACTTCATCAAAGATAACTTCAACTAAGTGATTGGTGCCTGGTCTCTTCCTCAAGATCTCAAGAGCATATCTCGAGTCCGAGTACACGATCACATCGAGCCCCGAATGTTTCGTCTCTTTCTATGTGTAATACACTCTCCTTAGGGCCGTGTTAATGGCCTCAAGATCCGCATCGAAATTTGATGCTGCAGTTCCACAGTGCCCCGAGAGCTTTTCATTCGGTGGTCCCTCTGCTAGGTATCTTATGAGCGCACCATACCCAGACGTTCTTGCTCTCTGTTACCTACCGCATTGGACTGGTATTAACTGTTCCTCTCTTATTAGCTTACTATTAATCGTATACCTACTGTTTATCTTTTCTTCCATATTGATACGGTTACCCTTACCACCTATATTGACCTACTTTTTATCTTACCTTTCAAATTGGTCTACAAATAATTTTACCTCACATATTGACCTACTGTTTATATTACTTTTCATATCACAGATGTTCATCTACTACTTGCAATTCAGAAATGTTCTATTGAATTTCAAATCTAAAAGCCAAAATTTTCACGTAAAGTTCATCATCGTAAACCAATCACAGTCTTATCAACAGATTTCATTTGTTTTTACTATAGATGTTGTGTTGAATGTATGGGGGGGGGGGGGTGGAGGACTTGATGGTTTAACGCTAGTCTAGTTACAAACATGGATTACCCTGAAACAGTAAATGACTCCAACAGCTGCCATTTTTCCAGACAAATAATTGGGTCTGCTCGGGGGTGGCCTTCGCTATGTTTCCAACCTCAAGCATCTAATGAGCAGGTGCTACAGCAATGAGCGTATTTTGTTCATGTTTATTTACAAGTGCTCACAAAACAAGGCTTATACAGATTTGGTGCTAGCGTTGAGCTATTATACTACGTATCTCTAGAAGGTTTAAGTTCGAGACCCCTTTTACTCATAGAGTATTGTGAGACTGAGCTGTTAATAAAGCTCTCAAACTGTGTCCCTTTTTGTCTTATCTACGTTAGCTTTAAAGCTATGCACCATATTGCACTTAAAACCATGCGGCATATTGTATTTAAAAATTATGCTAAACAGGGCTTTTTAAAACTATGCACCATATTAAAAATGCACCGTTTTTGCCCTTTCAAATTATGCTAAATATGGCACCTTAAAAATTATGCACCGTATTGCACTTGAAAACATTGCAACACATAACACTTTTAAACTTTTTGCCATGTGTGTCCTTAAAAACTATGCACCACATTGCACTATAAAGTTATGCACCACATTGCAATTTGAAAATATGCACTTCTTGCACTTTTAAACTATGCACTACATGCAAATATAAAACTGTGCACCATATTGCACTTTAAAACTGTGGACCATATTTCACTTTCAAACTGTCAAATTGGTGACACAACGGTCACTGCTGACTTTGCTCATATTTTATGCTTGGTGTTGACTTCTCAAAGGGGATTTTTAACAGTGATACATGTCACCGAAATGTTGTGATGTACGTATTCAAAAACAACAACAAAAAGACAAAAACAAAGAAGTCTTGCAGAATATTTGATGCCCTCAACCAGTAGTGCAGATAGGGTTGATGGCACCCTGTGGGTAAACGCATGTTGTTGCCCTCTGTCCCCAACTTACGTTATGGATTTATTTTATTGATTCTAAAAAAAAAGTCCACATTATAAGATATGATAAGTTATTTTTAATGATCCAAATAAATGGAAATTTGTTTTTTACATTCATCTTACATATGTTTTTCAGCCTTTGAAATGCTTGTTTTATTTTAAGTTGTTCCTTAGTCTGTAGCAAGACATTCGGCGTGTAATAGTGCTGTAAGAATGATTCTTGTGTTCTTGAGCGAGAACAGTCATGGATTATTGTTTGAACGGAGTTTTTTTTCTTCTCCAGGATAGGGGAGACCCCTTTTGTCTGTAGTAAAGTATTCTTTACATGATTGTTCGGATCTTGACATTTCTATACATGATGGCGTATCAATTGTTTCCAATATGGCGCATACTGATTTGTCTTGGTTTTATGGAAAGGATGTCCAAAAACTCCATGTAATCAATGTTCATCGCTGTAAAAAAAACCTACAAGATAATCAATCGAAGCCATTAAAACACATACAACACACCTTGATTTCAACGAAAACATTGAAAAAACCATCAAACTAATACGAAAGGTGAAAAATATGCGCAGAGGAAATTGAGTCACCTGCAGATCGGCACCCGGCAAGTAAAAATGAAAAGAAAAAAAAATAATAATTGACGGTCAGGAGTTATATGTACTTAAGAACTATAATGTCATTAAGTCATATTTTTAAATTTGTTTTTTAACATCAAATTTACTTCATTGAAAAAAAATTCCTGGTCTACTGTTTATCTAACCATCCATATTGGCCTACTGTTAATCTTACCTCCTATTTTTGCCTACTGCAACCTATTGATCAAGTGATCAATTTCATTCACATTATCGCAATCATTTAATGGTAGAGTCAGATCAGAAAGCCTTGACCTTTTAATAAAGCACGCATTTGGAATGGTTACATGTGTGGAAAATGTACGTGTGATTGGTTATCCGTTTATGAAATTCGGTTAGACGGAGCTGTGTCTGTTCTGTAAATATACAATTTTTCAATTATGTCGCCCTCTATGACGGTGTCACCTTCGGTAAATATGCAATTTTTCAAAATGGTATCACCCTCTGAGATGGGGTCACCTTATGTAAATATGCAATTTTTAATTTAGAGTCAGCCTCTGAGATGGGGTCACCTTATGTAAATATGCAATTTTTAATTTAGAGTCACCCTCTGAGAAGGGGTCACCTAGTTCGGTCCGAAAACCGCACATCCCCTCCAGTTACACCACTGCCCTCAGTTAAACCACTGCCCTCAGTTAAACCACTGCAATCAGTTACAACACTGCCCTCAGTAACACAACTGCCCTCAGTTACACCACTGCCCTCAGTAACACCACTGCCCTCAGTAACACCACTACCCTCAGTTACACCACTGTTCTCAGTTACACCACTGCCCTCAGTTACACCACTGCCCTCAGTAACACCACTGCCCTCAGTAACACCACTGCCCTCATTTACACCACTGCCCTCAGTAACACCACTGCCCTCAGTTACAACACTGCTCTCAGTTAGACCACTGCCCTCAGTTACACCACTGCCCTCAGTTACAACACTCCCCCAATTACACCACCACCCTCCGTTACACCACTTCCCTCACTTACCCCACCTCCCCCAGTTACACCACTGCCCCCAGTTACACCACTGCCCTCAGTAACACCACTGCCCTCAGTTAGACCACTGCCCTCAGTTAGACCACGGCCCACAGTTACACCACTGCCCTCAGTTACACCACTGCCCTCAGT